CCAAGCCCTTCGGCTCGGCCTCTGACTCCTCGACCCTAAGCTACTTCCTTTTCTTGGATTTCTGGGCCACTGTCTTTTGCTTAAGATGAGCAGCCATAGGCTGGGGAGCATCCATTGGTCGAGCTAGAGCCCCTGTTGGCATCCCTCTAACGGGGAGACCGCTAGGGGCCGCCCCGGTTGGTCCTGTGGCACCAACCTGAGGGAAGGTGAACTCTCTAGCTCTCAATGACTTAGGCACTTTGGGTGGCATGGCCGCTGCATATGAACATCATTAGCAAAACAGTTTGCTACATGCAAATAGCAAAGTTAGCTAAGAATACAAATACTTACTTGATAAGGATTCCAAGGTCGCTTCAGGGTTGAAGAAGCTGTATTTTTGCAAGTTTACAGTTGTCATGAGCTGCCTCGCGTCGCGACTCTGTTTGGGCAGAAGACCAAAAGTGGTTATTCTGTTGAAGTTAACGAGAGCCAAAAACCTGGTCGCCTTGTTTACTGTGAAGAAACAAAAAAGTTCATTAGCAAAGATTAAAAGAAATAAAATTCACCAAGTAAAAGAAAGGAATACCTATTCAGCTTCCTAAAGTGGCAAATGCCATTGTAATGGAAAAAGAAAAATTTCGTCTCATACGCTCCGACGTTACTGGGGTAATTGTGTATCCCTCTTTCAATCGTAGATCGCTTCGAGAGGTAAAAGGAGTCCTTGTCTTTACTCTTCTTTAAGTAATACGAGTAGCCAAGCTCTAGAGCGGTCAACTCGTCAAAATCGTTCTCCCCGCATGCGATATACATAGCCACTGCTATCATATACGCATTTGGCATCAGCTGTAATGGTGTGACCCTGAAGTGATCGAGGATCGACATTAAGGGTGGAAGGGAATCAATGCTCCACATTTGAATATGTTCCCGAAGATCGCAGTCATTCCCTCTGGCCGACTCCAAGCTGTATACGTCCTCGCTAATTGCGTATTGGTCTACCGCTTTTTGAATTTTCTCTGTTGTGGCTATTGACAGGATTCCTATGAGGGACCCACTGGGGCGTCCTGTACCGGCGAGCTCATTCCCTCATCTGTTCTGGTCGCTGAAGGGTCCATTTCTTCTGCGGTCTGAAAAAGAGAGACATACAGGAATTACTCAGTCGTCGTACAAAGTTTCGTACGATGACGTGGAAGAAAAGATAAACATTGTCTTCCTTAAACCCTAAGAATCCTTGGGGACCACCCCCAAAGACTCAAACCCTAGAGAAAAGCCTATTTTCCGATCAACCACCTGCAAACACCCATCGTTATCACATGGTTATTGTCAAAACAGAAAAAGGAAATTAATGAAAGAATCATCCTTACCTCTTGAGTGTGAAGATTGAACTGCCTGTTGTGAATGTCAAGTGCGCACCAATCTGAAAGATGGAAAGTTTGGTCTCACAGAAGCTTCTTGCTCTTTCTGAAAAAATGAGTGTTGTGGCATTGCTTGAGGTGAGCCTAGGATTTTATAGTGAAGGAAGTGGTGATTGGTTTTCCCGAAGTCAAGCGACGTTTGGATGGAAATCATCTCTCGCCATTGATCGCGACCACATGTCGTCAACAACGGGAAGGAGTATGTAACGCCCACTTAAGGTACGTAGCTTATGTATGTTTATTTTGCCCTTAATGTTGATTGGTTGCCCTTAGTTAAGCTTGTATGTTGTTAATATTGCTTGTTTGGCCCTTAATTGAAGTGATATGTTGGTTTGGTTGAGTGGTTATCCTGGAATTGGTGAAGACTTGGTGAAATTTGGAGTTACAGGTTCTGTAATTCTTCGTCGCGGCGAAGAGTCGGCTGAAATTCTTCTTGAAGGTTCTAGAGAATTTTCCTTAGGGGCAAAGTAACCATTCTACCCCTAATTAGTAGGAAAAGTGGGGAGTGAAATGTAAGAAAATTTCATGGAGAATACATTAGAGTTGGGATTGTGATTGCAAAGAATTAAAGGGCAAAGTTGAAATTTTCAAGAAAGTGTAAGAGTAAAATGGGAAAGAGTGCTTATAATATGAGATATTAAGGGTTTAGTCTTGTAAACCCCCTCATTTCTCTTCTTCCACCGCCACTTCCATCCTTCATTTTTCTCTCAACTTTTTGACTCAATCTTCCAAGGATTTTGAGGGCTTTTGGTTAGAAATTGATAAGGAGTTGATCCTAAGCAACAAGAGGTAAGAATCCTTGCTCTAAATATGAGTTTTATTTATGCAAGAGTTGAATCCTTATTAAGTTTATGCTTAAGATTTAAGAGGAAGCTTGAGCCCAACAAGAGTAGAGAGCTTTAGTGGAAACTACTCAAGCATAAGGTAAGTAAATCCATCTAGGTTAAGATTTAAGTGATGGAATGCTGTGTAGAGATTGTTATATGAATCTTGTATGAATCCTCTATGTTTGAGATGAGTAGATGGAGTTGTTATTGAGTTTGATGATGATTCATGATTGGATTTTCCACCATGAAAAGGGTTGGTTGTGTTGATAGAATTTGATGGAAGTTTGGATGGATTTAGAAAGAAGTTGAGAAGAGTATTTGCAGTGTGTTTCCTTGGCAAGATTTGTGATGATTCAAGGGAGTTTTACTCCACTTTTGGATGGTTTAAGAAAGAATTAGAATTATAGTTAAAGTAGTGTTTATGTATGCATGCTTATTGTTCGATGAAATGCGTAAGAGAAGCATGAGTATGAGTAGAGAACCTTAATTTTATGCAACATTGCATATTTGCATTTCATGAGTGCATTTAAGGAAGAATTCCAAGCATGAGCCATCCATATGCATATATTTATATATATGTAATAACTTAAGAAAGAATCATGAATTGTGAGAATAAAGCACTCTAAGAATAAAGAGAAAGAAAGAATAAGCACTAGAAAATAAAAGAAAGAAAAGTGCTAAAGAAGAGAAAAGAATAGGTTGTGCAATGGGGAACCCGTGAGTGATGAGCAGAATATCCCCGTATGCAAGCCGCCTTCAGTGAGCAGCCTGAGAATGAGAAGAAGAATTGGTATAGCCCGTGAGAGTGCATGCGGATGAGGGCTATACCCGAGAGAGAGAATACACTCACATGGCCAAGGGTTCTGAATCCATGCATCAACCGAGTCTGATCGGCATAGAATAAGAAAGAATAAGACTGAGAAAGAAATGAGAAAACAGAATAAGAAAAATAGAAGAGAAGAAAGAGAATGCATTCCTATGCATTACTACATGTGCATTTCATTCATGCATTGTTATCATGACTTCTAATATGATTTGTAAGAATAAGAGAGAAAGAAAGAAAGAATAGAGAGAGAGAGAATTAGTAGAGAAGTACCGTGAGAATTATAAGCAAAGAAGAAAATAGAAAGAACAAGAAGAAAAGAGTAGAGTAAGGAAAGAATGAAAGAGTGATACACGGGGATAGCAGTGTAGAGGATTTACTTACTGAGCATTTTTGTGCTCAACCCCTTGTTTTCTATGATTTTTCAGGAAATAGGTAAGGATGCGTCGGATGGACGTCGACAAGCGGAGAGAAATGGCTACACTGTCCACCATTTTGATAGTTTTTGTACACGTTATTTTGTACTATGTAAAGAATGTATATATTAAGTAAAGAAAAATTTGGGCCCAACTACTTTCTCTTAATTCTACATGTATTTTTATTAAGTATATTTTATGTGCATATTTGTAGAAAGAAGTCATTACAGAGTAACCGTCATGCTTTGAGAAATCAAATCGTCGCTTCCCTCCGTTGAAATAATTGAGCGACGGCTCGTTTCCCTCCTCCATATTAAATGCGCTCTCATCCGCATTTAATGCCCTGAAAAGGAATGTCGTTTCAGCATGGCTTACATTTAATGCGCATGGCTCGCATTTATTGCGCATAGGCCATGTCTGTAAAAGCAAAAGGTATTTCATTAATGGATTAGCTGTCAAAGCGCAATGGATAACATCTGAAGAGGTCGTTAGATGAAACACTCTTCGTCTCATGTAAGTTGCGAAACGATGCGACAGTCAATTACAAAACGATGTGACTCCTTGCCTTCAGCAAAAATATGCTAAGTATAACTAGGTCGCGGACCTCGATCAAGATAAGAGGCGCATCAATACGGCACTGAATAAGGTCTGGTCCAGGTCGTAGGCCTTGTAGAGGAGACCACTTCAGGTCCCCCTTATGGAAATGTCTTGCGACCTCCTTGTAGCCAGGTCAGATCGATCGGGCGTCATTTGGAACATATCAAACCAAGGCATAATTGTGAAGTTCTCAAGGTTCGATTCTCAAACCTTAAAAACTAGGGGACTTTTGTTATGCCTGGAAAAGTAGGGCTGACGTAGAGTCTTGTCAGTATGGGTGGTCAGAACTTAAGAAGGTTCTACGACCGCTCAGATGCAGCCACGTTGCGTGATGATGTGAGTGGCATGCTCCTGCCAGTGTAGTGGGTGTACACCAGGTTGGCAAATGGTTGGAAATGGTCCACGCGTCCAATCCCTGCACAATTCGAGGAAATCACTTGGGCAGGTGAGCAATGGGACGTAGAGAAGGATTTGCACGACATCCACCCCACTCGTAGATTTAGTAATCATTACCTCGATTCATCCCACTATAAATAGAGGTCTTCACTCCCATTTGTGGGATTGGTTAATTTCACTCTGGAATAGCATACACACACACACGCTCCCACTCTCTCTCTCTCTCTCTTTCTCTCTCTCTCTCTCTCTCTCTCTCTCTCTCTCTCTCCCCCTTGTATTCCCTAAGCTGTAACTCAGCTCGTTGAACGCGACCTGACTTTACTCATTAATACAATATCAGTGGACGTAGGATTCGCCTTGTGAGCATCCGAACCACTTTAAACATTGTTCTTCACCCTTTATTCAACTAAATACTTCCATAACCACATGTGACTTCTAAGCTCGCTTAGCATTTTTCACGTGCGAATAGTTGGTGTTGAAATCAAGCATCAACAAAAAAGTAACAAATCCACCCTAATTTTGTATAAATACATGCCATATGAACCTTACTTCATGTTACACCAATTTTCACCTTGTTTCCATCATGTTTACCTCTAATTGCATAGTATCTTTTAGTCAATCCCTATAGAGAAGTAGGACAGTTAATAATACTAGAAGTTACTTTTGTCCAAGGTCAGGTTCATTTGATCGAAATATTGAACCCAACTTACACAAAAGTAGAAAGATAATTTGAGGATTGTCCGGAAGAAAAAGATTTATAAAAATTACATAAATCTTTTTTTCTTTCTCCAAGTCTATAATATTGAGGTGTCATCATCTCTATTCTAATGAGAGAAAAGACTGAACATTGGAAACGGAAAAATGTATTTTATATTCTTAATTAATTTACATACAATGATATGAGAAGTAGAGTACATGATGAAATTATTGTAGTGGATAATGCGTGTATATATATATATAAATCGATAGATTTTTTTACACCCATAAACAAAAGTTCAGTTATTGTGGATTCATTCAGAGAACTAGTTCCTTGAGTTTCTCTTCAATTTTTTATGCTTCAATGCCAATTCTAGGACTGGTGGGCTGCAGTGATAATATTGAAGACTGTTTGAGCATAACCCGGAAGTTTGTTACAAATCAAACTTAATAAATAAATTAACATAAAGAATTAATACATACCTTGGACTTAATTATGAACTTGGACTTAATTATGAAGATGAGTTTATCATCAGCATGAAGCTGTGAAGCTTCTATAACTTCAGCTGCTTCTTCCTGAAGTACACTTATAATTTCATAGAACATGATTTTTTTATCCAACCCACAAATCATATTCACTTCCATAGTAGAATCAAAATGTTTGATGCTCATTATAGTACGTAATGAGCTTCGTGTCCTGTCATCAGTACTAGTATTACATGTTGTGATCTCTTCTCCTTTCAATTGTTCTTTCCTTTTTTTAAGACGTTCTACATTCTCGTGCAACTGCTTTATATAACTTGTTGCTTGATTCAATATCCCAGGCACTGACAACTACAAGCATATATTGACAGCATTGTTTCACATTAGATCGAAATATACATAAGAATATGAATGGAGAATTTGAATCATATTCTTTCTAAAGAGAACCTTAGAGGTGGTTTGAGGAGGAATGAGAAAAGCAAGCCGGGAAAGCTGATCTTTCATGTACATTCTTCGACTTTTCTCCTTGATATTTCGCTGAATTCTTGATGATGAGTTGTTGCGGCTGGCCATAATTTTCTTAAATTCACACGGAAACAGAAAACAAGTATAGGAACTTAAAATGAAATGAAGGGTAATGATATAAAGAACCCTTTGCAGGTCTAAAGAGAATGATCGATGGATGTAAATTAAGAATTATTTGTTGATATCAAAAGCAGTTCGTCAGAAACATTTGTAGAGTTGGAGAGTGGAGAGTGGAGAAAGACTCTCTGGAGTATGACTTCTATTGAAAATCTAAAGTAATTACTTTGCGGATGATGATTAATATGAAAGGAAATAAATTCCAACCACATATAAATATCGTAATTATTAAATAAATATCGTATAAAAAAGTATAACAAAATAAATTATAATTCAAAATTTAAAAAAACAAAAACAAATAAGAGAATGAAAGAGAAAATAAATATCGTTTTAACCACTTAATTTAATTATTTTCTACAGTATAAAAAATTATAATGATGTTTATAAAATGTCCGGCTTAAATAATGTTTGAAACAATTTATCTAATTTAATTATTATTTTTTTTTTGTTATGTTTGTAATCCTGCAGCTAGGTTTCCTTTTTTCTTCCTTTTTTTATTTTTATTTTTTAATATTAATTTGGGTTTAGATTTATCAGATTAATTAGTTACTTTTGAGAATATTAATGAGGTTGATAGAATAGACTTGACGGGCGAAAGAAAAAACTTCACTTAAAGACTAATTGACCGATGAAAAATCTTACCTAAGAATTTTTATTGATTTGGTAGTTGAAAACACGAACTTGAAATTATTAGCATATAGAATTCTAATTCCACGTGAGAATTTGTTGAAGCAACTAGTTTTGGGTGGTCGAATGATTCGATAAGAGTTCTTGGGTGTATTGCTCAAGAGGTTTTGAGTTTGAATCATTCTTTAGTTGCTAATAAGGGTAGTCACTAGAGTTTTTACCCAGTCGGTAATTCTAGGNTTTTAACCACTTAATTTAATTATTTTCTACAGTATAAAAAATTATAATGATGTTTATAAAATGTCCGGCTTAAATAATGTTTGAAACAATTTATCTAATTTAATTATTATTTTTTTGTTGTTATGTTTGTAATCCTGCAGCTAGGTTTCCTTTTTTCTTCCTTTTTTTATTTACTTTTGAGAATATTAATGAGGTTGATAGAATAAACTTGACAGGCGAAAGAAAAAACTTCACTTAAGACTAATTGACCGATGAAAAATCTTATCTAAGAATTTTGATTGATTTGGTAGTTGAAAACACGAACTTGAAATTATTAGGCATATAGAATTCTAACTCCATGTGAGAATTTGAATTGAAGCAACTATCTTTGGGTAGTCGAGTGATTCGATAAGAGTTCTTGGATGTATTACTCAAGAGGTTTTGAGTTTGAATCATTTTTTAGTTGCTAATAAGAGTAGTCACTAGAGCTCTTACCCAATCGGTAATTCTAGGGTCTCGGATGATTAGTTGAGGTACGCGTAAGCTAACCTAGACACCCCGGTTATCAAATATATATATTGAATTGTAGCTCTATACCATGTGAGAAAAAACATAAATGGCATTAATATCAATTCTTTTACCTAAGTTATGAATAATTATATATACTGTAGACTACATGAAGGGAAATCCTAAATAGAAAGATCTTTAAAAGTCATAATTATTCAAGTCCTTGTTAACCAAACCAATTAAGTTTTCTCATCGATTCTGCCTTTTAAAAATTGAATTTCTTTTTCTTAAAACTTCACAGTATTTATATGTAACATCTACAAAAAAAGGAAAAGCTGCTTTACCCATTTTAAGGGAAATTAACTGTGAATTATAGGGAATTTATAATGATTTTTTTTTTCCCATAAGTCACAAAAGAGTACTAGTGTTGTACATAATCAATAATTTCAACAACTCATTGATTTGGCCCATTGTATCTGTTATGCCTAAAGAATGCAGGGCTGACGTAAGGTCCAATCAGCGTGCAAAAGCAGAGCATGGGTATACCCGCAGCCGAGTCACGTGAGGAAAGGAGCAGCATGCTCCTGTTAGTGCAGTGGGTGCACGCCAGACTAGCCAGGAGTTGGAAAGCTTCCACATGTCCAAATTCCTGCACCAAATCACGTAAATCACTCTGGAAGGTGGGCAATGGGACGTAAAGGAAGATTTGTACGGATAATCCCACCAACTCACAGATTCAGTAATGATAACCTTAATCCATCCCACTATAAATTGAGGGCTCCTCTCTCATTTGAGGGATTCGCTTATTCTGCTTTTGATTAGCTACTCTCTCTTAAGAATATATAGCATCCTCTCTCTTGTACTGTCATTTGTAAGTCAATCCGCTAACGCGACCTGACCTCTATCATTAATACAAAAATCAGTGGACGTAAAACTTGCTTCCTTAGCATCCGAACTACTTTAAAAGTTGTTCCCATTGCATTTACTCTCATTTTCTCTTACATTCACGTGTGCTTTCTGAGCCCGCTCAACATTTCACACGTGCGTTTCATTGGTGTCAAAATCATGCATCAACAGTTTGGTGCTAGAAGGAGGGCCTGATTTAGTGTTCATCCTTCATCAGGAGAATCTCTAACTTACTGGTCCTACAACAGCAAATGGCCCGCCAACCTGAACCTGAGCGAACCAACCAGGGTGCTGAGGGGATCCCCCAAGTCCAAGAGGACACCTCTTCCAAAATACCTGCAATTCTGCAAAATGTCGTGGGGGATATCCCATCAAGTTCACAACTTGACCCTGCCATTAGAAGCTACCTGGAGAGGTTCGACAATACTTTCCAGACGGTCAACCGAAGGTTGAACCGTTTGGACCAAGGCGTGCCAACCAAATCAGCCAGGGCGGTGCAACCGCCAAAAACACCTGCAGGTCACGCAAAAGCGTGGCAAAGGGAGATAGCCTGTGCTACAAGCACTGCAGCGTCTTAGAGAAAGGGCAAACAAGTGGCGAAGAATGGGCCTAAGGGCTCCAAAGGGCCGACGAACACCGACCACATCTCGAGTAGAATACCCATGGCTTTGAGACTCGGTGAAAAGTCACAAGCCGAGCCGTCCCATGCCACGTCGCATGCACACCCTCATAAAAGTTCTGGGCAGGGCGATTCTTATCACTGCCAGCAAAACGACCCTAATCGTCATCGTGCGGGAGGTTCCCACACTTCGTGGGGTATTTCGTACCACCACGAAGGTCTTGATAATTCCTCGCACCATTCATCGCCATCACACGACTCTAGCCAGCATGTGTCAAGGGCGGCCAGAACTGTCGACCGAGGCGAAGCGGAATCTGACCTTCCAGACTTTTCTCAACCGCAACCACGAAGGTCAGACTCGCATGGGAGAAAGCAACCCCCAGATAGCTCCGCTGCCTCAGATTGAGGAGTTATAGCAAGCTCTAGACCAACTAAGAGCTCAACAAAATGAGTAGGGGCAGGTCACGTCTGCGTCCCCTTTTTCTCCGGCAGTGTTAGCCGCCCCACTCTCATCAGGATTTAGAATGCCCAACATATGGGCGTTCGATGGAAATTCTGATCCGCAGGATCATTTATATGAATTCAACGACCTAATGGAGCTTCACCAGGTCTCAGATCTAGCAAAGTGTCGTTGTTTGGCAGTAACTTTGACCTCTCATGCTAAACGATGGTTCAAGTCGCTCTCAGCGAGATCGATCAGCTCGTGGCCTCAAATGAGCGCGACATTCCTGAGGCATTTCCAAGCAAATCGAAAGTTCTCGATGCCTTTCAGCTACCTTAGCAACATAAGGCAAGAGAGGGATGAATCCCTCTAATCGTACATTGGTCGATTCCACAGAGAGCTTAACAAGGTAGCTCACACTTCCGAGGAGTCTATTTGGACTCTCATCATAGTGGGAGTTCGCCCACAGACCGACCTGTGGAAAGAGTTACAGGCTGAGCATGATGTTTCCCTCACCCGTTTCTACAACCTTGCGGAGAAATACCTCCGTATTGAAAGTTATGTGGCGGCGCTTCGCCGCCACGACCACGGCGATTCGGGTAGTGCGTCTGGTCAGGAGGACAAGAGATTTGATCGCAGATGGGCTACTGACGATCAACAAAAAGGAAAGAAACCGCGCTATGAGCCCAAAAACTCTTATGCTCCTATTCCTCGTCGCGATTGCGACAGAAATCAATATACGCCTCTGAATACGTCTGTATCGGCTATTCTTGACAAATCAGAAGAAGCCGACCTGGTCGGAGAGCCTGAGCCTGAGCCTGAGCCTGAGCATGAGCCTGAGCCCGAGCCCATGAAAAATCCCCCGTCAGCTAGAAACAATAAAAAGTACTGTCGTTACCATCGGGATAATAGGCATCACACCGATGAGTGCCGAGCTCTCAAGCAGGCAATCGAAGACCTCATCAAGCAGGGGCATTTCAAGGAATATATTGATGACTCAACTCCTACGCAAGAGAAAAGTCAAGGGGAACCTAAAAAGAAGCGACGTGATCGCAAAGGGGTATGTAGCCTCAATTTGATCTTCAGAGGACCACACTTCGCGGGGAACTCGCGAGGCACCCAGGAAAGATATGCTCGCGCAACTCATCACAACCCTATCAGTGTGATGAACGCGTCATGGAGACCACAGAAGGTTCGCAGGGAGGAGGAAATTACCTTCTCCGAAAAGGATACAGTCCGACTGCATCATCCCCACGATGACACTCTTATGATCTCACCCCTGATAGGGCGCCATAACACCCACAGAATGTTGGTGGATAACGGAAGTGATGTGAACATCCTGTTCTAGACAACTTTCGAAAGAATGAACCTAGACGAGGCTGACCTGAAACCCACCACGTTCCCTCTATACGGTTTTACAAGGGACCACCTGATCCCCAAAGGAACGATCTTGCTTCCAGTCACACTAGGTGACTTTGACGAGGTGACCAAGGTAACTGAATTCTTGGTAGTGGATTGCCCGTCCGCTTTTAATGGTATCTTGGGGCGACCTCTACTAAGAAACTTCAAGGCAGTCACTTCAATATACCATCTGAAGATGAAGTTTCCCTC